TGTCCAAGGACCAAACAAGTGGGTTGGTGAAACGATGGAACAGAGAACAAAGTAGTAAGTAGATGATCAATGATCGATGATCGATGTCATCGATGTGCACAAAAAAAACACGTGTTGGGCCCATCAGGACAAGGAATATATATATATAATTATATATATATTATATTACTCTAATATCTTAAATTTATATTGTACTTTTCTAAAGCCTCTAAACTCTAAATGATAAATGATTGAAAACACCATTTCCTGATGCCTGTGTCACATGTGCAAAAACGATGTGACACCAGATGTATGTCATGAGAAGATCCGATGGTAATGGTGCAATGGTGACGGTGATATCACATTTCAATGAGCGCAGCAGCTCAGCACACACAAAAGTGTCCTAAAAGAGTGTCCCACAAGAGTCCGTCGTCCCTACCGAACTCACCTGCCCTCCTGGGGCTCCTAGTTGGAGCTCACAGGTGAGTCACTCCGTTGGCCGGGAGTGGGGAACTTGGGGGATAAAGGTCGCCCTGTGTGCAATACATAGGTGTCTTGGGGCCAACTCATTGCGGGAGGGCAATGTATGACATCAGGGCAAATGGGCTAACGCGCCTGATGGGACATGCGACCTCCCCCCAAGTAAGTACGGAAGGCCACCAACAAGAGTGTCCCGCAAGAGTGTCCTACACGAGTGTTCCACAAGAGTTTCCCCTAAGAGTGCCCCACAAGAGTGTCCCACAAGAGTGTCACACTGTGACACCGTTTCTTGGAAACACTTTTGATTGTTCATCAACTTGCAAGTTGCAAGCGGGTCAATATATGAATGTTTTTTTTGTCCGGTTCTCATTGGCCATGTGGACATGTTGCATAGCAAGTTGCGAGTCATATTGTGTGTGTTTCTTTGATGTTGCTGAAGAAAATTAATATGTGTATATAGTATATAGAGATACGTATACAGTCAAACAGATGGGAGATGATGTTTTGACAGGAGATGTGATGGGTGGGCGGATGGAGAAGTGTGGTGGTAAGCCATTGAACCAGTTGAACTACGGTCTGTGGTGAGGGTCCAGAGTGAAAACCAATGTAAACAAAGTAGAGGTGATGTTAGAGGTCCGCGATGCAAAGAACAACAAGAAGTGGTTCCGAGTATGAGACCCCCTATGGTCTTCTATATCTTCAGATTATCAATGGGCCTGCAAGACCCCCTAGTACACAAACATTCTTACTTGAGGTAAAATGTGTTCTTGCAATAACTCCATCGTTAGTAGTAACTAGAAGCCTCATCCATGGAATCATCAACTTCACATTTTTTAACATTTTATCCTGACTTCAGGAGAATGAGGAGAGCAGCTCAAGTGACAGCAGCAGCAGCTCATCAGAGGTGCCTGAGCCATTGCAAAAGAGGGCACGAACCAAAGCTGAGGGGAAAGCGAAGGCCAAAACCAAGGCGAAAGCAAAGCCCAAGGCCAAAGTGAGTACCTCCAAGAGGTCTCAGAGCGGCTCAATCACCGCCGCATTTGCCAAAAAGGCAAAGAAGTGACAGAGTCCTTTTTTCAGGGGTTGCATTCACATGCAGGCCAGGATTGGGACAGTGAAATGATGGAGATGTGTAATATATATATATATATCTATCTATGCAAAAACCACCTTTTCAGTACAAACCTGAACTAATAGTTCAAGAGCACAAACAACTGTTTGGGTGTCCCAAGGCCCATGTGTGAAGTTGGGGATTGGAGCAGGGTAAAAACCTTGCCTGAAAACAACCTGTGAGGCCGCGAAATAAGGTTTTTGCGCGTGGGACGTCCCCTGGATTTCCTTTTTCCAACGGTCTTTTCTAATTGTCTTTCAAAAACCAGGTTCCTCAATTTTGGGAGATGATCAGTCAGATGTAGCATTAAAAAAAAGGCTTAATCGCAGACCACTTTCTTAATTACAGGCTTCAACCCTATCCTGTGCAAGTCCACACCACTGGGTTCCCAAATTCAACTCGCTGAGATGGTCTTGAAACATTCCAGCAGGACCAGAAGCATTGACCTAGACAATAAAAGCATCCCCGTTGCTACATCGTGAGGCACCTTAGTCCTCTACTGTCAGCATAACAAAAGCAATACCGTATATGAAATGCACTGTAATTGAATCTTGGAGTGAACCTTTATGCTGTTCCTGGGGGATCTACACATTCGGACCGATCTCGATCAGCTATTCCTGACTCAAATACATCACATAAGACAAACAGGCCATCCAAAATCAAAGACAAGCATAGATGACATGTTTGTGTCATGTATTTTTCATTCATGATGTGTTGTTGTTTGATTTCTTTAATAACCTGAATGAAACTGAAACTGTCAAAGTCATTGCAAGCAGTCTGCTTATGAGTGACATACAATGAGATTACAATGAGGCGTGCCCAGCACGCATCTTGGCCCAACAAGTACAATAAAGGTTGTGCCTTTTTCCATGCAACGGTTTGACGTTTGCCAGGTCATTTTGCAGTTGATTCACTGTTGCGTCAGAACAGCAGCGGACAAACGAACCACTACAAAATGGGTTTGGAATGCTTAAGCTTCCACCATTTGATCACGTACGTTTAAGGGATAAAACAAAATATTCGAGGCCAAAAGGATCTGGTGGACGTAGCAGCGGCAAGTTGTTTCTCTGCCGATCAGGTGGTCTCCAACAAGGTGGTCTCTATCCATGCAATCCTTGCAGACCTGAAAACAGGTTTAACGCTAGGTCTACCCCAAGGATCGGCAAATTGCTGCTCAGGTGTCTGGAAGGCTTTTTGCATTTCTCTGGTGTGAGACCTGTTTGGTCAGATTTACGGAGAAGGGGCATTTCCCCTGAGCCAACTGATCAAACCAACTAGACTAAAAGTCTCCAAGTCAGCGAAGTCCGCCAAAGCACCAACAGCGCAGCGCAGTATGTCACACCTAAACAGTCCACACGAACATCCAGGAGGGCCACGGATCTTTTTCCGTTCCCTCACGCCACCATCACCATCACCTAACAGCTAGAGACACCAAACAAGGATGTGCCGCAATACATGTTTAAGAGCAGAAGTGAACGTGCTGGGGTCAATGATATATACATATATATATATATACATACTATAGGTAGTATACAGTACTGTACACACGCATGCTCAAAACCACCACTTGGTCGTCCAGTCCTGGCAATCTCTCGTGCCATCAAATTGAAGACCAACCGATGTTCCACATCCAATCTGGCAAAGGCTGCCAAGTAGTGCCTTTGATCATTCAAGACAGTCATGGTGAGCGTGTGGCGCACGTCGCGCCAACATCAAAGCAAAACCAGCGCAAGCATCTGTTTTGAAGGCTTGTGGATACAAGAGCAGAAAGCAACTTCTTTGCCACTCCCAAACAATGCAATCTCGATGTACGTCTCTGGTATGCAAGGGGTCAAGAACCTTCAAGAACCCTCCAAAACCCTCTCAACCGTGCTGCTTTCTCGCGGTGCTACCCGCTCGCGGACGGACGCTGGCTCTCCGAACCACGGGACGGGACGGGACGCTGGCGCTCCGAGCCACGTGATTTCGTTGGCACCGAACTGCCCCAAGATCGCCGGAGTGCACTCGGCGATGCGAAGCATCATGTCCCGATCGCGGTAGCGCATGCGAGCAAAGGCCGCCAAGACCATGGACATGTCCTCGGGTTTGTGCCAAGGAAAAAGGAAAAAATAAGTTGGAAATAGAATGGAACATCACAAGCATGATTTAGAGTCAAAATATTGCACCATTATAATTAACAAGTTTAAGGGAGCTTTAAGTTTATCATGTTGCCACGTTGTTATAACAGATCCGTGTGCAACATTGGACATGCCGGTGCCTGTGGGACTTTTGTGCAGGCTTCACTGTTCAGAGCGAGCTTGCAGGGATCTTCGCTTCTACTGAGTGCTTGACATATCTCAGCACCTGTTGCCGGCTCGCGCTCACCTATTGCTTGGCTCGGCACTGGGGGCATTAGATGTTTCATGTGGCTCAACCAAGGCAATTGCTCCCAGAAAGGCTATATATGTCGGACATTGGATCCTTGCAAAACCAAGTTTCTCTACAAACACGTGGTTGTCATTGGTTTTCAGTATTCCTGCTAACCTTGAAGCACACATGGCATTCGGCAGCATGTGGCACGCCCCAACACTGCGCAGGACCATCCGTGGAAGCAAAAAATGTACTTCGTGGAGGCCTACCCAGAGCTGTGCAGAACAAATGCCGGGCATGACAAAGGAGGAAATCTGTGGTACGCGTATCTTCGGAGGACTATCGCGTTGATGCTGAGTATGAATCAAACCCCCAAACAATGCAGAGTGAGTGGATGTGATCAGCATTGATAAGCCTGAACTTCTGAAACTAAGCCGGGTGAAAAGGAAGCACCCAGGGCTGCCCTGTCCAACAACAATGCAGCAACGACAACAACACCAACACAATGCGTTTCATATCTGTTCATTTGACCAAGTTCAACTCATTCCTGCATAGTAGTCTGATTACTACGTCGTCGTAATCCAAAGCAGAAGACATGTGCGTCTACTTACATCCACCTGCAGTACCACCCCTAGGACCCAGGAGTGTACACCGCCTTGTGAATTTAAATGCAGCCCTCCAAAGGCATCCAATGCCTTAACCAGCACCGACAAAAGAACACACACACACTCCTCAAGAGTATGACCAGCCTCTCTGTTTTGTTCTTTATATCAAATGTATGAATGTTACCAGTGGTAATAACAATAAGATCATATCATCGTTGGTTCCTCTTGTTCTTTCCAAACCCTTCTGAGCGGAGGCTCGGCTGGCTGCATGTTGGGCGCGACCACCACGGCCCGCGCGGACAAGGAGCGCCAAAAGCTGACGTTCTTCCGCTGTTCTTTGGCGGCACCTGGGAGAAACCGTGCACTGGCGGCACTGGCGCCGACGGGTGGAATGTGGTGGAACTGGGAGGCTTGGGCCAGCGGGTGAAAGTCAAAACCGATATAGTGAGAGCGAAATGAAGCTACACAAACGATACGGTGATAGCGAAATTACGCTACTAATTACGCTATATCATCACATCACACTAAACATGTTTCGCAAGAAGGTTGCCTCGTTGCAGGTTTCTGTAGGGTCACCGGCCCAGTTTGGTCATGTAACTCAAACGTGTTCTTTTGCTCTTCTCAAATTTAGACTTGACCCTCCTACTACCACCCTTGTCACTACACTCTGAAACTAAACCTGTACTGCCAATTTATGATATATAGTGTGTGTGTGGATATTCAATGGTGGATCAGTGGATCAAACACACGTCCCACTCCGTGCCACTCCACCACTGTGTGCATCCTCAACTGTGTCCATCACATGTGCTGTTGGCTTGTAGGCACCGGGAAGGTCAATGAATCCCACCTCAAACATCTGGGCTTCCAATGGCCTCACAATCGCTGGTTGCAGCTGGTTGCAGGTGGTTCCTATGCAGCCGGAGCCAGTCTGACTGGGGAGGAAAGCGAAATCCAAGTCAAGGCTTCACCAATGCCCTGGGTGCAAGGCATTAGTGACTCGAATACTGGCAATGTCAAAATGGGTTGAACTTGATTGTTCTGGCACGGGGCAGAACAAATGCCCCTAGGACGACCAAAGCCATATCTAACTGATGGTTGTGGTAGCTGCGATTGCCAGTCAGGACGGCAGAAAGCTCGGTTCTACAGTTCTATATAGTGATCCCATATGATAGAACAGTGAATCCTCAAAATAACCTTAAAGTACAAAAGGTTTTGGAAATCGTGTTCTACTATGTTCTATCGCTATCTCGTTGGGGACCATTCAACTACTTCTTCAGTTGTACCTAGCCTCATGCCTTCCCCTTGCCAATGCAGCCAAGAATCGGAACGCCTTGATTGGCGATAGCTACAGAAGGGTCCAAAACGTTTCAAACTGGGCGTGTAGAGTAGAGAGGCATGATATGTATTATACAACAATTAAATGTAATCTCCAACCGAACCTGCCGCTTTCAAACTGCAGTTGTTTTAGGCGTGCATCAGGCACAACAAATCGATATAGAATAGGCTGACTGTAGGAGTGCACCACTGCAGGAGTGCAGGGCAGAATTGTGCCATTCTAAGGGTCACCAGCAAAGATGTTGGAAGCCAGGCGGGTGTTCCCGCCTCCCCACGGAACCAGCAGCCAATGGAGTAAGTCGAACGTTCTGAGGGGGTATGATATGACATCCGGCCAACAAGTGGTTTGCTTCCATGTTGCAAGTGGGGGACTGCCACTCAAAATTCAGCTGCCCGAGCTATGTGCCACGCGGCCAGCTTCGCCAACGCAAAGGGGCTTAGCCGGGCGATGGGGTCCTGGAACATTTCTAGAGCCACATCGCGTGCATGCATCAAACCATTCATGATGTGGAACACCAATTCTAGCCACACTTGTTGTGGCCGGTCCCAAGGTCAGGCACCTCATCCCTATCGTGCCTGATGATCTATACGAGTCTTGTGATTGGTGATAGGCACCATTTGATGGCTCGCATCCACACATCTCCAGGCCACCGCTCATCGCTTCCCCCAAAAGAAGACCCACCACCGAAGAAAGCCGAAAGCCGACCCACCGTGTCAGCAACCTCAAAACTGCAACAAGTCAAACCTTTGAGTATACGACAAATGCCTGTTGTTGTGTACTTGTCTTTCCTGGAGAATATGGACCACTCTCTGAGTCTCTAAGGACCACTCTCTGAGTCTGGGTTTTGATTTCTCTGGTTCTCTCCGGGTCAACGGCGAGATCTCGCCCGTCCTCGCCCACCGTCGCATGGTCCAACAGCGCACGGCACAGTTGCGACCTGCCACGGTCACTGATGAACGCCACGGACCGGTCACCCGGTTTGGATGTTCACAAGAGCCCGTTTTTGCGAGCCTGCGCATGCCGCTGGCATCATGCAGTCCCGCGCAGGAGGGCGCGGGGAGGTGCCGGACACGAGCAGTGCGCTGACAGCCGCCGCGACGTCGAGCGGTGTAAAGGAAGAAACGACTTGGAGACTCCAAGATGGGTGTCTGTTTCCAGTTGAACAGGTGTCTTGCTATCTGCTATCTGATTTCGGGTCTTTTTGAGGCACAGGCCGTCACAGGCCCAAACAAAACAACATGAACGTGTTGCTAGGACACTTCAGGTCTTTTCATTAAACAACCATGGTGAATCTGGCTGCAAATGCTTCTCCGTTGGCCGATGTGCGCCACCATGATGTTTGAACAAAAGAAGTTTCTTGCAGGTCTTAAGAGGCATCTGTTCATGCGGCCACGGTCTGAAGAAAATCATTCTGTCCCTTGGCCCTGGACATGGCTATCAATCAACTGCTGCTATGTGCCGGTCATCCCACCAGCACCTTGAGCCTGTGCACACCACAGCCATGCATACGAGCCAGTGGCTTTCGGGTCCGCCGGTTTGCACATCCCCTGTTTTCATTTGAATCGCTGCCTCCAGGCTGGCTACTTATCACAAGACACTCCGTGGAGTGGACCTCGCCCAGGAAGGAGCATAGCAAGGAGCCCATGCAGGTGTCTCCAGCACCTCAGCCAGCGAAAGCGCAAAGCCCGCAGGCTCCACGCGTTCGCAAAAGCCCGGAGTACTGAGCAGCAGCGGAGACTGGTTTATACTGGTTTGCAACTTTTGGGGATCTTTTAGGGATGCTTTGCAATTCTTGTGGGAGCCTTCAATGTTTTGGGATGCCTTGCCCGTTGACAGCTGGGATGAATGTGGCTCGCAGATCAGGACGTGTTAATTACAGCGCATTCGCCTACAGCACCGATGTCACAAAGTATGTTTCAAAATGTCCCTCGTATATGTCCGAGCTGGCTGACGGATGAGGATGAGGATGAGGATGAGGATGAGGATGAGGATGATCATGAGGAGGAGGAGGAGGAGGGTGATGATTCATCATCATCATCATCATCATCATCATCATCATCATCATCATCATC